TTCAAACAAACGCAATGTAAATTTTTGACATTCTGTTATCTATTATTATTTATTTATCTGAGCATAGGACCCATTAGTTATAAATGCTGCGTTTAAAAATCCACATCCGAGGCATTTTTTACATCTCGAACGGCTTTTTATCCACATCGGACACATCTACTACTGCCGCGTTTGATAATCCACATCGGATGCATCTTGAGATGTAGTAAATCATTGATCACGTGATTCAGTATACGTAAAAATGTAATGGGACAGATATGTCCGGTGTGGATAAAAAAACGTTCGAGATGTAAAAAATGCATCCGAAGTGGATTCTCAAACGCGGTAAAATCTACATCTGCATTTGTTTATCCCAGATGTACCTGTTTAGATTACATTTTTTACATCTCGATTTCAAATGAGATGTGAATGAGAGCTGTGAATGAGATGTTCGTTCCATGCCAGAAATTAAGTGTTCTGTGAAGCCAAGTTTGTCAATTTATCCTTTGTTTATGCTAGCATGAATATAAAAGTGATTAGTTTGTTTAATTTTTGTTAGATTTCAAATTTAGGTTGATTTGTAGTCTCAAAAGTCAAATTTAAAAAGTATAAACTTCTAACTTGTCATTGACATTTTATCACGTGACCAATAACGTCTAGAGCGTTTGTTTATTACATCTACATTCAGATCTAATTCTCTATCACGTGATAAAAAATTCACATCTCAGATGCATCCGATGTGGATTCTCAAACGCGTCAAAAGGAATACCGCAAATGCAAAAAAACTTCGGCCTCTCTTTGAAGGACTCGAAAAATATTGGTGTAGGAAACTTATTATTATTAAGCTAAATAAAATGTTTTTAAAATAAATAAACAACAATAGCACGTATTTTTATTTAATTTTCAAAAATAAAAAAAAAATTAAAAAAATTGCATTTATTGTGAATTGAAGAGCGTCGCGAAATGCAAAATTGACTACATGTTCAATGCTTAACTGAGCTAAAGAGTCATATCAAGTGTGTGTATTTTATGTGTTTTTAGTCGATATTTTTTACAACTTTCAGTTGTCTGACGTCTTGTTTGCAGGAATTTTAAACTAAATTCTTGCAAGGGCTCGTTTCTAGAGTTCATTGGCAAATTTTCCCATGGGAAATAGTAGTTTCACGTATGTCTGATATTAAGTCCACGAATATTTCGAAACAACCAATAACATTAAAGATATTTTCAAATTTACTGTTGGCATTATTTGTATTTATTATGGTTTTTGGGTAACCGGTTACATGCCGAGCCTCCACGCTGGAGCAGGTGTCGTGCCGAGCAATCCCTAGCATGACCGAGGAACAAGTGAAAATATTCGATTATGTATAATTAAAACTTGTTGAGTTATTCCCAGTTTTTCTTTTAACTTGTTGAAAAAAGAAAAAGTAGCTTTTGTATGGAAGAGCAACGAAAGTTTCGAGAAACTAAGAAATTCTTATTAAATTTGTGTTATTTGCCAGTCCCAGTAGCTCCTACAATTTCTGACTGATTTAAGAAAATCAGTTCATATAATTTCTTAGTGAAAGAGAAGTAAAAATAATATACCTACATAAATAAAATAATATCAATCTGTAAATATGCCAAAAAATATTTTAACTACAATTTCACCAAAAATCCAAGATATCCAATAATCTTTGGTTATGTCTACTCTACTCTACTCTAGTACAATTCCCATTGGAAAATACAATTTCCAATGCTCGTAAGCAGGGGAATATTTTCCCATACTTCTCGTTGGAAAATATTCCACCGCTTATGTCGAGAATACGAAAACTGAATTCCCATAGAAACATTTTATTTTCCCATGGGAATAAAAGTCGAGAATCGACCCCCAGATGACACTTCCTGATGGTCCCGCCTACCACTTTACGAAATTCCAGCCGTAGGTACGATCATACCATAGACTTCATAATTTATTATCTAAGGTCTATTAATAATAATAAAAAATTAAAATAAGATTCTTTCCATTGTCTTGTTTATTTGTTCGTTTATAAAAAATATCGATGTTTACAAAAATCGATATTTTTTTTCCGATTTTTTTACAACATCGATAGTCTGTATTCGATGTATCATTTGATGTCAACATCGATGTTTTAAAAATTTTGCGCATCCCTAGGCTGAGAAACCAAACCTGAACCAGGCCAATACGCTAGTTTAGTGATAGTCACGTGATAGAGATCATGGAGGAAGGATAATTAAGAGTTGCCGTTTCTTTGTATAAATATGGCAACATGTTTGCTATCAGCGCCATATGGGAGGGATTTGTCCAACTATTTCTCATACCTGCATATTTTATTTAAAAATTAGCGGGATTTTGTTTGTAGCTCTACTTTAACTACTATAACTAAAATTTTGCATTTTGATTGGCATTTTTTGCAACATAATTTTAGGAAGGGTAAAATAATGTAATATTAAATAATTGTATTATCTATTATATTATTAAAACTAAATTATAATAAATTTTCTAAATAAACAATATTTTAATAAGGGCCGATTACACCGTTGTGTTAAACGGAGATAAAAATGACGTTGTTAATGTAAAAATATAATTTTAAACTTCGTTTAACACAACGGTGCATATAATCTAAAACAGAAAAAATTCAAAGTAATATTTTAACTTCATATCATTTTGAATCTCTTTTTTCTTTTAGACATTGTCACAGTTTTATACTATCATTATAATTATTTTATAATTAATAATGGTAGTCCCTTCATCTTTTTTAATTAGATGTAATACTTAAAAAAAAACAGATGCATGCGGGATTAAGCTTTGAGGTTCTTCTTTGATTCACAAATTTTACTTTGCTAATTTCTAAATATCAAATAAAGTTTTTTCTTCCTTGGAATTAACTATTCACTGGTTTGATTTAAAAATCCAAGATCTAATCATTGTTTTTTAGGTAATAATTTTTTTGTGTAATCGGCTTCAACTACCAGAGAGTTATTTCGCCTCGTGTTCTGTATAGGCGTTGTTACTGTTTCCCAGTGCCACTTTAGGAACAGCACTGTTAATTAGAACCCAAAAGTGAATGGTCGAGTGGAGAATCCTACCAAGGCATCAGAATTAATTTCAAATAATTAAATTAAATGAAAAAATCCTGGTCAACTGTGGGATTCGAACCCGAGACCCTTGGATCAACAGGCAGAGGCTCTACCACTGAGCCACCCACCCCGTTTTTAGGTAATAATTATATTTTATTGGATGAAATTTTGATCGAATGTAACTTTCTTTTCTAGTAATTTGTTTGGCGGTATGATAACAATATTACTTTAGTATTACTCTTTGGAAAAAAAAGTGTGTTCTTAAAATTTACAGCATAAATTGGTCAGTAAATTGTACTATTTACCTTTATACAAACAACGCTATTACAATTAGATATTATGAATTTATTACGAAAAATTATTTTTAACTTTTCGGTTTGATATGCTCTAAAAGCGTGTTTTTTAGTTTTTTTAAACTATATTTATTTTTACTTCGAAGTATTATAAAAGCGTGTTTTTTAGTTTTTTTAAACTATATTTATTTTTTACTTTTTTAGTTCGATTAATTATTAAAAACAATTGCTAAAAAAAAACAATTATTTTTTTCAGCCGTGGACGGCATTAGAACTCATGATCGGTGAGTCGACGTGAGCGAAGACCCGCGCCTTAGACCGCTCGGCCAACGAACGAACTTGAGGCAATGAACTCGAGGGGAGTAGAATGCCAATGTACATGTTGTATATTAGAACTAGGTGCGACTCTATGGGCGCAGCCATTTTTATTGTTCATCTCACTCGGGACTATTTATATTAACCATTTTCTGTTTCACATTGTTATTGTTCGATCCACAAGCTGGTGGATCAGACAATAATAAAGTTAAATAGAAAATGGTTATTTTAAATACTCCCGAGAGAGATGAAAAATAACCTATCTTCGCCCATAGAGTCGCACATCAAGTCTATTGACAAGCATTCTACCCCACTCCAGGGGGGCTATTTTCAAACTCGAGAGAATTCATTTCCATCAAGAGAAATGTCATACGTCAACGTAAAACCGTATTTTTAGGGCTCTTAGGGCCAGTGTGAACTCACTGACTGTTTCTCTCGGTTTATTTAGAGATAATTAAAATTCTCCTAAGAATTTTAATCCTCGATGTCTTTAAATACAGCGTTTCCACATTGACGTATGACATTTCTGATGAGAATCTTGAGAGAAAGGAGTGCTCACATACTTTGAAAATAGGTCCCCAGGGGACCTATTTTCATTGACTTGAGGTAGTGGGATATACTAGGTTCTTTCGTTCGCTGTTGGTGTAGTGTCCACCAGTGTAAATTACACCAGTTACACCACAATAGGTTCTTTCGTTCGCTATTGGTGTAGTGTCCACCAGTGTAAATTACACCAGTTACACCACCTTATTTTCCCTAATTTACTTCCTCCTTATTCCTTATACACATCGTCGAGTGTAATTCACTCCTGCTAAATAGCTGGTGGAGAAAGTATCCACCAGTGTACACCACATCGCCGACAGGAAGGTATAGTGGGTTTTACACCGGACCAAACGAAAGGTATGGTGCATTGATAAATTAATATTAATTTATCTATGGTATGGTGTGCGTTGGTGTAGTTCATTACTACACCAGTGGGACGAACGAAAGAACCTACTGACAGTAATAAGCCACTTGCTTTTAGTCCAAAGGAGAGTTACAAACATACATACAGGTGAAGCTAATAAAAGCGTGTTAAAAAGCTGCAAAAAAGTTACGAAAAACCAGCTGGGTTTGAATATCTGCCGCTACTATGAAAATTCAGACTAGCGGATCCGCTGTTTTTTCGGACCTGGCCGGGTCAAGCTACAAATTCGCAATTAGCGTAACTAAAAAGCTACAAAAAAGCTAAAAAAAACGCCAGTTCTTGTATGGTTTCGCCATAGAGTGGCCGCTAGCTTGATATAGCCAAGTGGGCGCGAGTTCTAGGTGGTGACGTCACAAATCGACGTTTGGCAATGGAGCACTTTTGAACAACTAGGCTATCCCGTTTAATAGTCATAATGCTTGGGGGATTTTTTCGGCTGTCAAAAGTCAAAATTAATGTCTATAGAAATATAACCTCAATTCATTTATTTTTTATTAAAAAAATAATAATGAAATTTAGAGTGTATGATTTCCTATAAATAATTAGCATTTTTTACATGATTTCATGGCTTTACCAAACATCATATTACGAAATCTATCGACAAAACAATTTTTCAATCATTTTGCAAGGACTATTTCAACTGCTGGAATAATAGGTAGGTAGTTTGTTAAATTTTTAATTTTGAAACAATGTTCAATCAGACATTTTTAGTTATTGGCGATGAAATACTTAGAGGCCAAATACAAGACACAAACTCTCAATATCTTACACAAGAAATTCGTAAAATGGGTGTCCTAGTAAAAAAGGTTTGAAGAAAATAAGTATTAACTTACATATAGGTATATAATATAAGCAATGATGCTTACAGATATCAGTTATAGGTGATGTAGTACATGAAGTAGCAGAAGAAGTTCGAATTTTTTCAACTAAATATCACCATGTAGTTACAGCAGGAGGCATTGGGCCAACACATGATGATATTACATATGAAGGTTTGTAGACTATTCTTTTCAAAAAAAGAGTACTGAGAGTTAACCTTCATTACGTACATAGGCTGGTTTTCCAACAGTTATTGTTAAAATCATAAAGGTTCAAACCATTGTGTTCTTTACTATGATGAACATAAGAGCCATACGTGGTGTCATTCGGATACTTTCTAACACCAACATTCACATTTTACAGTAGAGTACAAGAACTGCAGTGTGCTTAAACCATTATTGGCCAAGCATTGAAAAAATAGATAACGTAATGAAATATTGTAAAATGATTTATTATAGCATCAATTAACAGTAATAGTTCAGTTTTTTTTTTATTATAATACAAGAACATACAAAAAATTACTGTTGTGTGAACGCAATGTTGACTGAAACACTTAACGTGAATGATATCCTTCAAATCAGTTTGGGTGTATATTGTCATTCAATTTCTTGTCGTGACTATGACACAATCTGCATCTTATAGGTTTTCTAAATATTAAATAACTCGATTGGTCCTGACGAATATTGGCTGGTATGTTGTTAGGAAATGGAGCTAAAGTCTGAAAGAATTCATTTTCAGCAAGTGTAATGCCACATTTGAATTAAAATATATTTGGTACATATTTGTGTTGTTTACTATTATATAATTTCTAAGAGTTTACTAAAATATTACCAAGTATTTGCCATTTTCCCCCTTCTATACCAATCCTGTAATTAGTCACAATATTATCATGTATATCAACGCCTCCATATATAGGAATTTTATTGAGATATGACAGATGGTTATGTTACGTTCATTGTCCGTTTTTCAGCTCTATTGTATATTTTTGTTGTTTTTATAGCTTCTACATGGTAATGTGTCACACCATCTAGCTAAAGAAATAAAAGTGTCCTGGTCAAAATAGCTATCGAACGATCCTCCTTCTCTATCTTTTTTCATTATTTTGGATGATGTAATGGAACCTGTTGGGTTCTATCTTCTCTAATGCTTACCTGCTCACTTTGTTCGTGTTCAATTTCCATAATTGCCTTGTTTAATGTCAGTTCCAACTCCCCTTTTGTGTAAGTATTTTTGGCATTTTTTTACCAGAGAAGTCAACAACAGTTTTTTAAATAAAAAAAAACTTTTTTTTTGCAGAAAACTTTTATTTCAGCCTTTTTTTAACTGCCTATCAAAAATAATAGCAGTTAGTTATAATTTACCATGTAGTATTGATTTGAAAAGTATGTCTCTCATAAAAGAAATTATTTGGCCGTTTTCAAGTAAACACAATTTTAATTAGTTATTTAGAAAAAATGTCTAGTTTTTTTTGTAGTTTTATTAAACAATTCTACTAAAATAAACAAATATATCTTATATAAAATTTTTAATGACCCAAAAAGAATAAAAACTAGTGTTGCATATCGGTAGCAGGTAATGAGATAAGTAATACAAAGTTCATATATGAAGCAATATAAAAGTTTAATTTATTTAGTTTTAAACATTTTTCTGAGCTATGAGGTTATCTGTAATGAGGCGAATAGGCAATTGTGACAATTTGATGAAAAAATCTAATTTTTGGAAAAGTGAGGCTTACGAGACATTAGAATAATACCGACCTTATTTATTGTAATTACCTACCTACAATTAGATTTCAAGAAAAATATTTCTGTCAAACAAGGGTGAAAATATTGGGTATAGTTCCAAAAACTACACTTTGAGATTCCAGGTTTGACCCCTAATTTTTTGTTGGTTTGTTTTATTTTGGGGATGTGGGGACCATTTCCTTAATTTCATAGGGGATAGTTTCACATTTTCAAAAGTTTCCAAAACGTTTCTATTAAAATATTTAAATGAATCTTATATATTTCTCTATAGTAAAGATAATACAATACAATTAAATAAATTTACAAAAAATATATATCTGTATCTAAAATATAAAACAAAATATAACAAAACAATATAATATCACAGATTGTGGCTTATTAACTCATAATCTTTTAATTTATATTTAAAGGTATTAAATGAGGCTACATTTCTGAGTTCTAGTGGGCACTCATTAAAAGCTTGAAGTCCCTTAAAAAATACTGTATTTTGGCACTGTTTACTTGCAGAATATGAAAATTAGAAATATTTCTTGTGTTATAATTGATAGTCAAAGTTGTAATTGATTTTATCAAGCAAATAAGAGGGAACCAGTCCATGTTTAATTTAATAAATGAATGTTACAGTTAAGTGGAGAATATAGTTTTTAACAGAAAGCCATTGAAAATTTTGTATGGTCCTTTTATCACATGACAATAATATCCTCATTGCTCTATTTTGTAATTTCTGAAGTCTGTTTCTGTTGGTTTCATTCTGATTACCTAATTAAATACATAATCGTGGCACAATAAGTGAAATGAGTCAAAATTATACTGTTGCATAAAATGATCAATATGTATGTATAAATTTATTTTGATCTTTAAAAAACAACATATATGGTCTACTACTACTCCCAGGTATTTAACTTTTCTTATCACTTGAATGACATCATTTTCAATACTAAACTTCAAATTATTTTTGGTAGATTCATTGTAATACCTAACATTCTTGATGATCATAAACTTAGTTTTATTCATATTTACTTTTAATAAATTAAAACAGCACTAATCATATATTTGCTTTAATGTTACATTTATAGTAGTGGTTATTTCCTGCACATTATTAGCAGGATAATCCAGCATAGTATCATCTGCAAACAGATGCATGGAGCAACCACCTGCAACATGAGCAATATAATCAATATATAAAAGGAACAATAATGGGCCCAATATACGTTTCTGGGTACACCTAATAGATGGTTTTGTTTGTTTGATAAAATATTTTTAAATTTTAATTTTTGTTTTGTATTGTCCAGGTAACTTAGAAGCCATCGTAGTGCATTTTCCATAATACGTTTCAACTTTTTAATGAGTAAATATCGATTTACTGTTTCAAATGCTCTTTGTAGGTGTAGAAAAAGAGCACCTGTACACCTGTAATTAACTTGTTTTCAAGATTCTGTTTCCAGTCATTCAAAACATATTATAGCATCGCCTCGTAGCTGAGTTTACCCCAAAAGTCTGCCATTAAACATGTTATTGTCTTCCAGATATTGAATTATTTGATTATATACTACTTTCTCTAAAAAAATTTCTACTTTACATAACTAATTTATAGGACGTAAGTCCACTGCCCTATATGAATTCTCAACCTTAGCTATTTATATTATTTCTTCACTTTACTGAACATATTTTATTTTTAACACTTTCGCTGCCCTGTAACGTCATTTGAAGATGTATGCTTTGATGAATATAGACAAGCCGCTATGCAGTGAATGGTCTTTATAACCCCGTAGGCATGTGAAAACGTTCTTAAATTAGTGCATTATCAATTTGGTTTTGATATTATGTTTGTGAATTTAACATAGCAAGGCTTTATCAGGTTCTAATTAAATATTGTACCTAATTGCTCGATATTTCAATTTGTGGCATAGGCACAAGTCATGGATTTAAGAAACACATTATATAAAAATATTTTTGGATATACAGTGTGTTATGCTTTTGCTTGGAAAGTAAAAATATATATTTGTTAAATGGAACACTGTATTTTATCTCAGTTTTGAAATTCTTAAGGAATACTGTATTAATGCCCAGAATATTTTTAAAAAGTATTACAGGATTGCCAAACAATTAATTTTTTGTGATATAAAATGATACAGACCCCAAATAAAATTATCAGAATTTAAGTAGCTTATCAATGAGTTGAACATTATTTAAAATACAGGCTTATAAACTAACGAATAAACATAATAGAACTAGTTTATTTTATATAGATGGTTTTGAAACATCTCATAAATATGGATCATTTTAACTTCATTTTACCCAATTTGAATGCAACACCTTGTATATCATTTTAGAATTAAATTCATTATAAATTTACCTATCTGTCAATGCCATCATGTTAGCCTATTATACATATAAAGGGTGTCTCATCAGTGCGTAATTGATCGATAGCTGTTTCATTATTGAAGATACGAAGACATTTTTAAGTTGTACGACCATATTTTAAAATTATTCCTAAGTGTACAGGAAAGTTCATAAATGAGTGGTGGAAAAACTGTTTTAAAATAAAACGCCTTGTATATTTGTTCTCACATCGTCAAACAATTTTAATAGACAACGTTTCTAAAAATATTTTGACTTTCCATTCATTTGCTACGTTGTATATACCACAAATTTAATTAACTAATAATTTAGATTCTTTACTTGTTATTTTGTTTGGAATTCTTGAGACTAAACTGATTTTTAAATTTTATTTACAATGGTTCATATCACTTGTAACGTCGAAGGAATAGAAAACCATTAATTAATTCTGACAAATGGGTTACCAAAAATTATATTAGCATTTTACCCTAAATAAGTCCATATTTTCAAAAGCCAATTAAAAAAATGTGAAAACAATATATCAATTTTAATGATAAAACAGTTAAAATCTTGAGAAAAAATTTGTTTGGGAATAGAATGCCAAACAAAACAAAAAAAAATTAAAGAAATTAATTTATAAATTGGTGGTATAACACACAGGATATATTTAAAAAAAATGAGAATATTGTAGCCTCAAGTTTAGACACACCCTGTATGCATCACAGCAAATAAATGAAAATGTTAAACATTTTTAGGAACGTTTAGTCTATTAAAATTATAAAACGATGTGAAAACCAAATCTGTAAGGCGTAACTACCTACAGGGTATTTGGTTTAAAAAACTATATGTTTGGTTTCCCCTCATTTATAGACTACCATGTATATTTAAGAATAATTGTAAAATATGGTCTTACAACTTTTATATTAAACATTTCTTCATATCTCCAATAATAAAATATCTATCGATGGAACACACTGCGTTAAAGAAGCTGAAACCTAAATTAACAACTGGTCCTGACAATGTTACCGCTTTTTTATTAAGAGACTGTGCTATGATATTTTGTTAAGCCATTAACTGTTATTTTTAAA